CTAGGGCACCAACCCCCCCCCGTCCCCCACCCCAATTCCAGCCCTGGCAGCCCGCCCGGGGGCTCCGCGCGCCCCAAATGTCAAGGGGCTCCTCGAGCAGCTCTTGACCTTCCGCGCCGGCAGGAACCGCCTGCAAGGAGCCGAGAGGCAGGAGCTGGAGATGCTCTCAGTGCCGAGGGGGGGGAAGAAATCAATTCGATGCTAAATTTAGATATAAATATCAGGTTTAAAAATAAGCTTCCTGGAAACTTGTTGGTGCAAAGATTTTTTTAATCATTTATTTATTTGTTGATATTAAGGCCTGGGAGCTGCAGCAGGTTTCTCTCAGCCCCTCTCCAAGCCCCCACAGCTTTGTCTCCGGCCAGGAATTCCACAGGCTGCTCTAAATGCAAAAAAAAAAAAGGAGCTATTCAGTAACCTATAAAAGCAGCCAACCCCATTTGGGGCTTGGTTTAAGACCGCGATCATATCAGCGATGCCCTTATCTCAAATAAACACCCAACCCTTTCCACCCCTTGCAAACCCTCCAGGATGTAAATTGGGGGAAAAAAAACCCAATCTCGGCTCCTTGCAAAGCGCTGGAGGCAACGGCAGCGTTTCCAGGGGGTCTCAGCGTTTCCAGGGGGGCTCGTCTGCCTTCCCGGAGCGGCGGCTCCCACTGCCGGGACTTGCCCGGCTTATCGGCGCCGCTCCCTAAAAATGGCTAAAAACGGATGTTAATATTTTACTAAGGAAAAACCGCTTGACAAAACAAACCAAGCAACCGCTGTTACCGGGTTTTATGGAAGTCTGGACACGCGTCCCCTGTGCCCGGGGCCTCTTGCTTTTAGGCGAGCAGGAGGGTGGCGAAGGGGAGAAATTTAAGGGTTTTTACGCTGGTTCCAGGCAAAGCCGGGTGAGATTCCAGCGTCCCGGCGCTCCTCTCGGGACAGCAGCCGTCCCCGCTGAATTAACGGGTGCAGCTTTAAGGATGCTGCAACCTGCTGCTCAGGGCCACTGAGAGCGGCTCCTCCAGGGGCTGCTCCTCCTTAAATCGCCCCAGCCAAGAACCAACCGGGCACTAATTTTCCATTCGTAACATCTTAATTAACGCACTGCCTACCAGAGCTCCCCATCCTGCCACCAGCCGCAGGTGAACGAAGCGCAGAATGGAAGGAAAACGCTGAATTTCCACCCAAAGTGGCTCCTTTTAGCTCACTTTGCAGGCAAAGCACGTGGGCACCAAGACTGTGTCTTCATTTAATTTATATTAACTTGTCCTGGGGGGGACACGTGGGTCCAGCGTGGCCGGGGGACACAGGCTCCCATTAACCAGCCCTTGTCCTGGGTTTTGTTCTCAAGAGGTGAAAATCTGCAGCTGTCCCCATGGATAAGACCCCGATCTCGGCAAAGGAAGGAAAATCTCTTGGCTTTTCTCTGCTGGAAGGTTTCTACCTTTTAAAAGGAGTCCCCTTTTAAAAGGAATTATTTAATATTATGCTAACAGCCAAACCCGCTGTCGTTCCACACGGGTTAGGGATGCCGGCATTCCCACGGTGGCAGCGGGAAGCTCCCGGGGGCCTTTCCAGGCACTTCGTGACCCGGGAAGCGGCTGCGAGGGGCAGCGGGAGCCGCCGCGCTCGTCCCGACATCCCTCCTCCCGACATCCCTCCTCCCGCCGGCCCCTTGGAGGATCCTTCCAGCCCCTCTTGGGGCTCGTTTTCACACCCTGCTGTTTTCCCGGGCATTCTTGGTGCTCCTAGAGCGTGGGAGCAGCCCGGCCGTGCCCTGCACAGCCTCCCGAGACCCTTCCCCAAATTCCCTTCCCGGGAAGCTCCAACCCCCTTCCCAACACCCCTTGGCCCCAAATTCCCTTCCTAGGAAGCTCCAGCACCCTTCCCAACACCCCCTATCCCCAAATTCCCTTCCCGGGAAGCTCCAACCCCGCTTCCCGACACCCCGTGGCTCCGTGCAGGGGCCAGCCCAGGCCCAACAAGCCTCGCTCCCCAGCACTGCACAAACAGGAGGGCAGAGGGACCCAGTCTCTCTCTTTTCTCTTTCTTTGTTTTTTTGCTTTACTTTTTATTTTTTTTTTCCTGCGGACAAAAAGAGAGGAAAAAAAGAAAATTCTAGTTCATACCCGTAGCACATAAGAAGCAGCGTATATAATCAGTATGTGGTTTAATGAAATACAGCAGCAATTCCCAGTTCTCTGCACAGTGAGCCCCAGCGCACGTTGCTGTTTGGTTTCGACGGGAGCGGCCGAGTCCCACGGAGACGTCGTTCACACCATAAGCGTAAAGAAAGAGAACTCACGAGTGTCCGTATAAAACGTTAAACTTTGGGCTGTAACAAACTGGGCTGGCGATTTAACAGCTTCAAAGCTTCTGCTTGAGAGGCATGGTAGAGAGGGCGGCTTTTTTTGGAAGGGTCTGCACCGCTTATCCCTTTAGGAACTACTTAATGTCAAGCCCCAGCTGGCAATGGAGTTGCTAGAAAGCGTCCGAAATGATGCCGTTCTGCTGTGTGAAAGGACGAGACGACAGCGCTGGCGACACAGCACAAACAGCCCCGAAGTGGTTGAGGAAAAGCAGCTGGGAACAACGGCCTCTTTCCCCAAAGGAGAAGTGTCCCCAAAGATGCTAGGCGGGATCCGCACGCGCTCGGGACAGCAGCAACACGGGGCTGGGGATGGGAGGCAGGAAAGGAGCGACCTCTGCTCGGCGCCGGCTCCCGTGCCCGGGATTCCCTGCTCCAAAGCCGCGCCTGGAAACCCGGCACGCGGCTGTTCACCTTTCCCTTTGCGGAAGAGCTAGCGGGGCAGGGGAAGGGAGGAGAAGCTGTGAGCAACAGGCCGCGGAGGGAGCGAAAAGGGGTTGCTTTTCAAGAAAAATCTCGCCCCTAGAACAACAAGGATGTGTTTTAATGTATTTTAATAGTAAAATCATTCCTATTTTTCAAGTAGGCTAATGGTAAAATCCTACCTGGGTGAGGCTTAGGAATATTTTGGCTTGCCAGGTCTGCTGTACCAGGGCAAAGGCTCCCGGGCCGAGATTCCATGTGCGATGGCCAGTGCAAAACGATTCCAGGGATTCGCAGCGTCCTCCCAGGGACGCTGCTGCAACTGAGGACTTGCAACCGCTCGGTCAAGTAACCACGGGACAGGGTTTTACTGAGCCTCCCTCTTAGGACAGGAGCAGGAGGATGAGGTTTAAATAATAGTCTGGGCTCATATTTGCAGCAGGCTAAGGAACAGAGGAGATGCCAGTGTTTTATTTAGTAAAAGAGGTTAAGTATTGAGGGAGCAGAACACCTTACAGTGACTAACTTAGCAGGAAGAGGTCAAGTCATAGCGCAGCCCTGGGGGGGTCCGGGGAGCAGGGAAGGGGAGACAACGGGGAGACTGCACGGGAAGCAGCTTCACACTCGAACCTTGGCTTCCAGTAGAAGGTATTCAGAAAAATATTGCATGAAAAGCCTCAGGGTTTTAGTTCTTTCATAGATGTATATTTACCAGTTTTCACAAAGACTGCAGGAATACGATTATAAACAATAAATTAGGACTTCATGTTGCTATCATTTGGCATAACACAATCAGGCATTTTTTTTCCTTTTTAAATATAAGGCAACACAAGCCAACACATAATTTAATCCGTCTTTAGGCAAATTGCTTAACTTTGCTAAGGAGTTATCGCTAAAGAACGGTTTAGAGTACACTTAAAAGAATTTAAATAATGACATAATTAAGTGTACTAACTTACGCAAGGAGTCAGAGAACGAACTCTGCTACGCTTTGAAACCTAAATATTTGTTACAGCCCAGAACTACACGCCTAAATTAAAAAAATACAAATAAATGTTTTCTAATTTTTCCATTTACGAAAAACTTTAAGAATCTCTAGCCAACTATGACGTCACTTCAAAACTTGTATAAGTTCTTTTTTTTTTTTTTTTTTTTTTAAATTTTGTATGATGTCTTAAGATTTTAAACCATGCTCGTTAAGGAAAGTTCGAGGAGCAAATACTTAAGGCTTTGTTTTTCCAAGGGCTGTGAGGGAGGCCAGTGAACGGCAGAGGCCAGTGGGTTCACCCATACACAATGCTACTCAAACCCACACTACCAGGCGACATTCATACAGAAATATTACACTTAAAAGTTACAGTGTAGAGCAATATTTTTTTTAGCCAGTGTACATATAAAGAATCAATGCATTTATTTATTCTTTTTAATTTCCAAACTTGATTGTGATCATTATGTTCAAGTATTAGTCTGGTTAACAGAGGGGAGGGATTTTCTACTTACAACAAAGGCGGCTATCGGAAAGGGAAGGGATGCTGCGGGATGCTGAAGAAAACAAGATGCTGAGGTTATCCCATAGTTAGTGTCCTACCGGCCACCGACTCAACTAGCTGCTGTAAGCGATGGGGGGAAAGAACAGAAGTGGTTAGGCACCGAGAGTGGGGAAAAAAACTAAAAAATAAAGGTGTGTTATCAACAGCTCCGCTAATTCCCAGAAATAAAAAATAAAGGCGTGCTATCAATAGCTCCGCTAATTCCCAGAGTCGTTCCATTAAATCTACTGTTGGTGTTTTAACGGAGGAGAATATGGGGCTGTGGGTGGCACGGCTTCACCTCCCATCGGATGCTGCCCTGCGGGATGGGCTCGTGCCGCGTCCGTCGCTGCGGCGGAGCCGCGTGTCGGGTGATGTCTGATCGCCCTGCAATTAATTCTAGCTCCTGGAGGAGCAGCCGGAGCCTTTTCTGGAATGGAGAGCGGGTCGGGATTCCCTTCACCTCCAGCCGTTCACCTCTGCAAGGCCAGACCCCCTTCGGCAGCAGGGGCTTCACCCCAAGTGAGCTTTTACCTTGGCGAAAAGGGAGTGGGAAGGGAGGTTGGGTGCGGAAAGAGGCGGCTCCCGACGGCAGCTACGCTGCCTGCATCCTAGCAGGGCCTTTCCCCGCTCGCTCCTATACCCTGTCTGCAAAAAGAGTGCCAGAAAACCCTGCCACAGACCTCTGACTTTGGACCAAGTCTAAACGATAAATGCAGCCGTCTCTGTGAGAAATACAGAAAAGCTTCTTCCTACATTAATGCCTAAATATATACCCCTAGCTAGCTCTTTTCAAATGTAGGCTTTTTTTTTTCTCTTTGCCTTTT